TGGACGGAGAAGTGGTGCCTCGGGGCGCGCCCGGGATCCAAACCCGGGCCGCCAGCATCAGAGCGCGCGCACTTAACCGCTAAGCCACGGAGCCGGCCCTGATTGGTGTTTTCTAACTCAAGTATTTCTCTTTCGTATAGGTTACTCACTATAAACAGTACCCACCCAACACAAGCAAAGTTTATTCCTACTTTGAATGTCGTGAAAAGAAGACAGAAAATTCCAAAATAAGGAAAGTGAAATACGAGGAAACGGTATTTTATGGATTGCAGTACATTCTTAATAAGTACTTAAAAGGTATTATTTTTTCCTACTACATTTAAAACACTGCTTTTTTATAACTTCATAATTTTTTTCCAATATTGTTATATTCTATTATTTGAAGTAATTTTTTGAATAGTTTAATTTTTGTATTTATTTACTTACTTTAACTACTTCAGGGGTTCTTTTGGAATTTTTTTAAACCTGTTAATTTGAATGCATTAAATATTATAATTTGGTATATGTGCTTGGTGTTCCAAATATGAGAAAGATTTTCTGGAACTAATAAGTTTGGGAATAAGTTTAAAAAAAGTCAATAATTTTCTGAGGCTAATCTGGTCTGTTAATAGACTTTCGTCATTAATTCAAAATAAAGGATTTGTTATTGACCTGGGAACTCATTTTGAATTATGCTACCAGTTATAATTAGAATATTTTTGTGCTAGTCAGTTTTACCTTACAGTTTCTCAAAACTACCTTAACTGTGGACTTAGTCTCAAATGGATTTTAAAGCAGAAAAATCTCCAAAATAATTTCTGTTCTTTCTTATTTGAAAGTCTATTTCTAGTCTGTTTTGTAATGGTATTTCTAGGAGGAAGAGAGTTCCCAAGGTATTTATACATTTTGGAAAAATTTCTGTCTAATGTTTTCAAATAAAAATAATCTCAGAATTAAATACAGATTAAGTTGAATTTTTATGCAGATAATAACCTTTTTCCATAATCTTGGCAATTTTAATATCAGACAGTTGAGATTTGTTATACTATTGAAAAGCTACTTGGATATCAAAAGTACTTTGCAGCAAGACTACTGCAAAGTGATCTTATATAGAGAAAGTTACCAAAGGCTAATGTCACACTTTAACTCTACAGTTTAAAAATGTCATAAAATATTATTTATTATTAATTATAGCTAAAACATATTTATTGCCTGTTATAGGCCAGCATTATTCTAAGTGCTTCATATGTCTTAACTCATTTAGTTCTCACAACCACCCTATAAGTAAGTGCTCTACTTACTTATTATTATCCTCATTTTACAGATAAAGAAAGTTAACTAAAAGTGTATTTGGGGGACAAAAATTTAGTAATTGTGAAAATTATAGGATTATCAGCCCTGAAGACATCCTTTATGAATAAAGTGGAAAGCTTCTCCTGGAACATCATCTGTATCAAAGGCTTACTCTTTCAAATTTAAAGAATATATAAGTTACTAAAGATAGAAAAAAATATATTCTTAAAAGTTAATTTATTGTGATTTTTAAAAAATACTATATGTGTAATAATTTCTTCTGCACATCTGCTTTTCAAATAAGAAATTAACATCTATGCTGGAGTGAGTGGTTGGAAGTGCAGATTCCTTTTCTGGCTCTACTGTTGACTCTGGGTCATTTAACCTCTCAGTTCTTATTTTTTTATCCATAAAATGGGTGAAATAGCTAGAGACATTAATCCTATGACAATTCAGCAATTCACAGAATGCATGTAGAAATGTGAACAGGAGATGTTTTTCCTTTTAGGTAAAGTAGTGACCAAAGAGAAGATCCAGGAAGCCAAAGAGGTGTACAGAGAGCATTTCCAAGATGATGTCTTTAATGAAAAGGGATGGAACTACATTCTTGAGGTAAAATATGGTTTCATGTTTTGATCTATTTCGATTTTGCTTTTAGTTCAAAATTTCTCGCAAAGGAATTTGAATAGAAGATTAGACTATAATTATAACTCTTTTCTCTCTGTGACTCAAAGACCATCTTGTGAAAAGTTAAGGGTAGTATTTAATTTTTTTTTCTGGTAGCAAATCATGTATAGAATCTCCAGCAGGTCTAAGTAATTTGTTGTAATATAAATGAATTATAATTTAAATAATTAGCATTTTCCAGAAAGGTGATTTAATCCTTTCTTTAAAAATACACTATAATTAAGAAAGGGCATGGTTATTTGGCAATTTCAAAATTTAGATCTGTTCTTTTGACTGTAGAAAATAGATGCTGTGGTTCTGTCACTATATGATAATTCTAGGAAATTTCTCTTACTGAATAGTTAGAATGGTTTGCTGCAGATCCATGAAGTTGATTTTATTCTTGCTTAAACTTTAGGGCATCCAAAGACATGGAATTTGCGTTATGAGAGTTGTGTCCTCTGCTGGTTTCTTTATTACAAAGATAGATTGGGAATGGGTCTGTTGGCATCTTGCCATGCTGTGTTAATTAATTGGTGTCTTAAAAACGAACGTTTTTTCCATTATAGACTGTCAAACACAGAATAATTAGAAATACTTTAACTTTCATGCCTGCCTTGTAATATTGAGTTTTACTATTTGGTACTGATGGGTCTTTGACGAAGTCAAGTAAGCACTCTGCTGTAGTTTTCCTATATCTTAAGTAAGGTCAGTAAAATCTGTTGGCTAACTCCTGCACTCATCTCATTTGGATTGTTGTCAGGATGATAGTAATAGATAAGTTAGGTGCTATGCTTATTAATATAATTCCCAGGGGCCAGAGTGATAAATCTTTTGATTTTATGTTCAGAGAATCTTAGGGATTCATAGGTTCTCTAGAGATAATCTTGTCCTAACCCCATTTTACAAGCATAGAATCGGAGACCCAAAGATGTTAAATGACTTGCTCAAGGTCTCCCACTTGTTTTTGAGTCCCAGCTAGACTTCTAAGGCAGTATTCTTTTGCTGTTATCGTGAGGCCTCCAGTGCTTCTCATCAAACAGGTTTTTCTTTTATCTAGTTACTTTGTCTCAAATCACATAAACTATTAGGATTTCTGAAACAACTTGCCTTTCTAGCAAAAAGTTACCCACAGCTTTTAGCTTTAAGAGGGGAGATGCATAATTAAATATCTAGAACATAGCCATGTAGCAAATATATCCTCTTCCTAATTTTGGAGAGAATTGTTGTACTTGAATATTGATTGCTGAAGCTCTAGAAATATACTTATGATTGGTCTATCTACTATCAAAATGGTTTCAGGTCTGCTACCAGAATAAAGAGAAAACCTCGTTAAGGTTCTTCTACTGGCAGGGATCTCTCTCTCTTTCATTTCTTTTTTGTTTGTTATTTTGTTTTGCTCTTTGATAGCAGTCGCTTATTTTATCTTTCAGTCTTTAGCCTTTCTTTTAGGAAAATGACCTAATGGAAGAAGATGGTGTGTTCTTGGCATATGTTGGAATTTTTTTTTTTTTAAGAGTGGGAAAAAAACAACTTTTTTGTTTTGATCAGTTTGAAATTATCTGTATCTTCTAGTGATACATGTTCTTTAGCAGAAGCACTCTGACAGCATAAAATTTAAAAATTAGTATCAGTGCCAAACTGTTAATCATTTTAGCTAATTTTATTTTAGCAGGATATGGATATTCTGACTAGATTATTAGCAATATAGTAACATCAAGAATTGCAGTTTCTATGACAGTAAGTTTAGCTTCTGTAAAATATAGAGAATCTTATTAAAACAGGTAACTACATATCATCTGTTAAATGAATAAATTCGTTATTGTCTCTTACCAGAAATATGATGGGCATCTTCCGATAGAAATAAAAGCTGTTCCTGAGGGCTCTGTCATTCCCAGAGGAAATGTTCTCTTCACAGTGGAAAACACAGATCCAGAATGTTACTGGCTTACAAATTGGATTGAGGTGAATTGTTTTATTTTGTTTTGTTTTTTTTGTTTTAAATTATTATTTAATATTAATTAAAGATGTAAAAGCCATTCAACTGGGATTTTAGTTTAAAAATTGCTACTAATAAAACTATGTAATCTCCTACAATTTACTAAACTTTTCCAGGCCTCAATTTCCTCATCTATAAAATAGCAGTTGGACTAAATATTCTTGAAGGTTCCTTCAAGTGAAATCTAATATTCTGAGATTTTATCTAAATCAAATTATTAAGAATTATTACTGTTAGGGCCGGCCCCGTGGCTTGGCGGTTAAGTGTGCGCGCTCTGCTGCTGGCGGCCCGGGTTCGGATCCTGGGCGCGCACCGACGTGCCGCTTCTCCGGCCATGCTGAGGCCGCGTCCCACATACAGCAACTAGAAGGATGTGCA